CCCAGCCCTGTAATTAGGGCCCACGGTCACTCTGGCCACAGCTGAACAAACCAGGGTGTAATTAACTTGCCACCCGGCTTTTTACACAGCAGCATTCACCTTGGCCAGAAAGGGAGGGTCTGATGTTCCGAAGGAGCTGGGGAAATACTCCTCGGAACCAACACTCAGGGAGAGGGACATGCAGAGGGGAAGTAGTGAAATTAACCCTCAGGGAGTGCACTGTTTGCTGTTGTGATTTGAATAAATTTCCCCCCCTTTATAAAGTTGAGCATTCAAATAAGCTGACTCTGTCTAGAATTTATTTTGAAATTGTTTACCATCCCCAGTCTATGTGCTTGGCAAAAGCTGCTTGGAGCTGGAATGTTAGCTCAAGCTCTGCAATCTTGAGCAAGACCCCCTCTCTAAGCCTCAGTTGCTCATGTGTAAAATGGGCAGGAATCATGAAAAGCAGGAGCTCCCTGCTGGGACTGCTGTAAAGACTTGGCGAGCACGCACCTTCACTCCACAAGCATCATTGTGTTTCAAGGGTGGGGTGAGGCCAAGATGGGCAACGAAGCACACTTTGTCCTCATAAGTCCAGCTACAGAATCCAATGAGCCAAGGGGACAATGCTGGGGTGGGGCTGGAGAGAATACCTGAGGAGCTTGTGGTGTGGGGGAGAGGGGTGTGCCACTGCGAGAGTCAGGCAACGGCACCCAGAGGAGAAGGAACCAATGCTCAGCTCTAACCTGATCCCAGAGGCAATTTCTGACCTATGGAGCCATTCCCAAGAGTCCAGCGTTAGACCCCTCAGTCCTTCTAGAGACGCCATCTGCCTCCCCAAGCTATAATGAAAACCCAAATCGTGCCAGCGATGCCTTAGGCTAAAAGACCATGGCCCGCCAGAGATGCCTGCGGGGATGGGCACACAGATACCCACCAACAGCCCGCTCCTGACACAGGAGCATCGCTAGGAAGCCGGGTCTAACCCAGGGCAACATGGTAGCTCCAGCAGCCACGTCCTTGAGAAGTTGGGCTCACTCACTTGGGCCCAAGGAGCAGTCAAAGGCTCAAAGTGTCCTTCAGAGATGGTGTCTGGACCAGGAAGCGCTAAAATACTCCACCGGGATCCAGGCAAGGGCTCACGGTGACCTGTGTCAATGAGCACGTAAAAATGGCCATCAGCCCAGGCTAAGCCAAACCCCTGTACCTGCTTCCATGATGCCAGAAAGTTCGCAGAGATGCTGAGTCCTCCCAAAGACAATGAAAAACACCCTTGCAACTATTTCTAGGGTCCCAACTGGTCGGGCCAACATTTCACAAACCATGTCAATGCCAGCCCTGTCCAACAGCAGCGCCACCTGAATCTCTATGATCCACCCACACGGCTACCGAACACTGTCCGTTTCTTCGATTCGTGTCCACATACACTCTGCGTTAGGAACAGACAAGGCCAGCACAGGCATCAAGCTGGCCTCCGTGTTGCAAAAGTCCTCACCTAGTGGCCTAAAGTTAAACTTTTATGGTAGTACTTATAAGCTACTTACTATGTTATGTATAGCAACCCAAATTTCACCTGCTTGAGGAAAGCTGTTTAAAAGAATTGGTCCACCCCACCCCACCCCCAAAAAAGAATAAAGGAGAGGACCCCATAACAAATGCAGGATGTAAAAGGGAGCTCGCCCCCCACTCTAGCTGGGAGCTGTCCTGGGTGGGGAGGGGAGACCAAGGAGGCAAACAGCTATCGGGGTGTGAGAATCAGAAGGGGTGAGGTCGTTGCTGATTTCATGTCCCAAGGATGCAGCACTTGAAGCCTCGAGGGTTTAAGGTTGGTTTCGCCTCAGACTTGAGAAGGAGCCAGTGAGCAGCAGGAGGGAGAGGAGAGGGAGAAGGACATGACCAAAACGCGATGGCGCTGCTGCACTCCTGAGCCCACTCTGCAGCAACTCTGGCCCAGCGTGGAGGCCTGCGGGCACAGCGGAAGGGCCACCCCAGAAACAACACTTCTTCGGCGCAGGGCCCCGGGGTCTTCCCTACGCATATCATCGCAGCCATTTGTCAAGAGCTCCCCCTGTCCTGGTGAACAACCTCCACTTTAGAAAATCTCCAAACCTCACAACTACTCTTCCAGATCCTCACTGCCCCCCTCACCCCACCCCAACAGCCAAAGAGAGACACAGAAAGGGCCAAGGGCTGAAACAGTTTTAAGGAAGCATATTCAAGATCATTCCCACAACACGCCCCACCCCACAAGGCGTCTCCCCAACATGCCCGTCTCCCCAACATGCCCGGCTCTGGAAGGGTTGGCCCTCCTGGGAACACCTGCTGGGGCTGGGAGTCCACTGCCTCCACATTTCAGCAGTGACAGCCCTCTGCGGGGCACAGGTGTTATTCCAGGAGGGGGCGGCAGCATTGACGGGTAGCACTGCCCTCGGGCCCCACATCCCCAACAGCAGAGACAACCTGCCTTCCCTCTAAACAAGAGGGAAAAGTAACTAAAATTTGTTTCCTCCAAAGCATCTCTGCGCGCTCAGGGCCTGCGGCCTCAGCAGAGAATGGTCCTCTCCAACATGGCCTTTGTTGGGCCGTCAAGTGTCCACCTTCCCCTCCGCATTGTCCCCGTCCACCTGAGTCACCCCAAATACAGCTACTGGATGACCCCTGGCAAGCATCCAACAGACCCATGAGCCTGGCCTGGGAGGGCCTGCAACTGCATTTTTGTACCCATTCCAAACTTTTAAAACAGAAGTCAGTTTTTACATGTTATGCTACAGTCCAGTGCTATAAAATGAAACTTTGAAGGTAAATTATCCTGGTTTCTGCAGGTGCAAGAAGCCCCTCTGTCAGACAGAACACCAATAGCCTTGGGAAAACAGGTTGGTAACCCCACAGAACAGAAGGATGCGGAGGCACCCCATTCTGAATAATATGCATGCAGTTCCCAGATTAATCCTGCCTTTTTAATTCTAAGGACCTAAGACTGAAGGGGAAATAGCTCCTCACACATGTCTCCCATGTTAGGGAGACTCCCAGGCTGGGTCACACCTTTACTGGGCGGTAATGAATTTCTGAGGGATGCTATTAGGCTAGGTATTTCCAGGACTCTTTCAAGGAATTTCTGACTCCCTTCTAATGCTCCAGGGTTTGGGGATATCCCTGGCTCCATGACCCCAGGGAGGTCGTTAGTGGGTACCTATTAAAAAGGAGGCAGGAATATCAGTGGATCCCACCAGCATCCCTAAGGATGGCTGGGGACCCTGCAAACCGGGCTGCTTTGATTCAGTGGAAGCCCAAGGCTGTCAGAAGAGACTGCCCTGGGAGGAGAACTGTGCTTCGGACCAAAGCACAATTAGCTACCATTTCTTATTTCTGGAACACAAACTCAGATAACTCCACCTTCTCCATCCTTCCCCACCTAGAAATGGTGTGTCCATCTCAAAGGGAGGTGAGACACAAGAATCTCCTGATTTTGGACAACAGGAAGAAAGGGCAACCTGAGCTAGGACCTCAAAACAAGAGCAGAGGCCCAGCAAAGCTTTGCTCAGCAGAGGAGATTCTTCAACAATTAGCCAAGAACATCATGTTCTTTATGTTTATAAAATAAAGAGGATAGCTTTTTATTAAAAGAGAAATCAATTGTTTTTTAAGGGGAGTGATATTTTATTCTCTTATAGTTAAGATTCCACCGCACTTATTGGCTAAATGAAAAAATACATCAGCATCTATTATTTTCTCTAATAAGAGAATCTCTTGCACAGGATGCCAGCGAGGCCCTGGCTTGGTCACCAATGTGCCCTTGGTCAAGCAATTAGCTTTCCCTCTTGATGGCTTAGTGTTCTAAGATTATAAGTAATCATAATCATCCCCGTGGGGTTGAATTTATCACAAATTTCAAATGAATTTGATTTTTCAGAGCCCCCAAAAGTCCACAACTGCCCCCCAAAAGTTCAAAACTGCAAGAATCCTCTTGGACCTACTGTTTTTTTATATTTCTTCCCTCCAAAGTTTGAGGACTGGGATGTGATGGAGTCAGAACTGTGCAGATATGGCTGTCACTGGAGGAAAAGTCATAGCCGTGTTCTCCAACCTGCTGGCTTGCACATTCCAAGATGGCATGAAAAGTAGGGAAGCTTGGGCTTTGCATCCCAGCCTGCTTCCAGGCAGCAAATTTCCAAAAAAAACCCAGGAGATCCATATTTGAACACTCTCCCTTACAAATTGACATCCTAAAGGTTTCATCAACAACCATGAAGGAGGAAAACATCTCAGGATAGCTGTTTAAGGATGCTCTGCATGTCCACAAACCTGAGTCAAGAACTAAGCCAACGCCACCTCTACAGCTTGGTTGTCACACCCCAAGAAATACACATGCCCCGAGTCTTCATCTGACCACCCCACATATCCCAGACTCACAGAAGTCTTCAATCATTTCTGGAAATCGGTGGCCCTGCCCACTTTTTTGAGGTAAACTGAGAACGGGGCTATAGCAGGTCTGGCAGAAACTGCTGCCAGTCACACTTCTCCTGTTCAGGGGTGTGGGAGGCCAAACACAGAGACAGAATCAAGGCTCTTTCAGCATAAGCCTCTCTTGGCCTTTGAAATTCTCTCCATCCCATCCCAGGCCTCGCCTTGGCTTGGCACTCACTCCTTCATGCGACTTTCCACACTTAAGCTGCTTAACTTTGCACTAACAACCTCTTAATTGCTGGGTTTCTTTAAAAGCCTTCTAGAAATCCGGGTGCAGGCCCACCCACTTACAGCTCCTCATACTATGGAGTACAGCTTGAGAGAGGAAGGGACAGGGCACCTCTGCCTAATGTCTGTCTGCCAAAAAGCTGTTGCTTTTATTTTTTAATTTTATTTAAAAGCCAGATCCAGGGTACCCAAGACACCACAATAAAATGACATTAACTGTAAAATTACATTATTAATTCTTTAATCTCACTTGAGGCTTCAAGCTGTTGCTATGTCCAATTATCCATATAACCACCTGTCAGAATCCCGGTGCTATTTAGCATTACCTCCAGGACAGCGGTGGGCCCGATGGTCCGTCAGGTCTGCCAGAGACTCGAAGTCCTGCTGACAGTGATCGCAGGTGTAAATTGACTCATCCTCCATGTCTTCATCGTCCTCATTTCTCTCCTCTTGACTTGTCACGCTGTTCCTGTCTTCCAGCGCACGGCTGGTTTTTCGATCACACTCCGGCTCTCCTTCTAGGCCTCCTGCCAACAGGAAGAATACAGTCCATGTCAGCTGATGGGGTCTTGGGAACAGGTTTTAAAAGAGTCGCCCGGCATTTATTAAGATACATTTAATTACTCTACCTCCCAGGGTCCATTATTCTTGACACCTCTCAGTATATTAATATATGGATTTATTTTGTAGCATGTGGTGCCATAATTCTCAACTAGATTCTTTAATTCTTGGTGCAAATCTTCTAGGGGGATTTCCTGTCATCTTCCCTCTGTGCATAACTGCTAGGGTTGGGACCCATTGAAAAAGTGAAAATGCCTTAGCATTTTGTCTCCTAAAAACCCAGTCTTATGCACTTTCTGAGAGCCTGCATCAGCTGCTCCTTCACTCACCAAGACTTTCCATCTCACCAAGATATTGCAATTTAGAGATGGAAGAGTTCTTAGCAACTTCAACCCTTCTGCACAACAAGCCTCTCAAGGTAGTAATGTTGGCTCAGTAATTCACAAAGATGTCCTGATTCTAGAATGTGTCGAGAAAGCACACGTGTTTGCAGGACCACAGTCAAATCCCAAACTTAAAATGCACCCGAGAGCTCATTTACACCCTTGCATCAGCCGAGACCAGCCTTGGGATCATCTAACCAATTTCTTGACACGATGATACCTACTCCCTGCTTAGCGCTGCGCACAGTGGGCAATCTGTACAGGTAGGTGAGTTAAAGATCATGAGAATGCTGCCTTGCTTTTGTGTAGTGTTTTGTTCTCTGATTTTTGAAATTACAATCGCATGCACAGAATCCTATCCCATGGCCTCACACAGGTGGGCTAAGAAGAGGTGCAAGTGGTCCTGTCCCCGCAGGTCATGCCTCATGCTCTCAGAGAGGGACACTGCTGTAATTCTAATTTCGCATGTATGCGCACCTGGCGTCCTGCCAGGGGGCCGCAACATTCCCAACACCCTACAGATGTTTAGCTCAACATCCTGACTCCTGTCTACTCCACTTCTCCACACAGCTGTCGGGGAATGGAACACAACTTCAATCTGAAAGATTAATAGGACACATCAAGAACTTGTAAATCAACATGCAAAGAAAGCATGGTAAACACAGCCCAAGAATCTATCAGTAATCCCAATAAATGTCAGTGGATTAAACTTGCCAATTAAAATACAGAGACTCACAGTGGAAACTCAGAGTGCGTGTGGTCTCTTTGCACAGTCTGTCCTGCAAAACAGACCTACCTGTTCAGAAACTAAGAGAATGAAACTAAAGAGACCTCTCTATCCTGCCTAAAGGTCTATCTGCCCACATATACATGCGTGCAAACGTATGTGTGCACGCATGCATCGCACAAAGCGTTGTCATGACAGAAAAATGCTTTGGCACAAAACCTTTAAACCCCCGAGGGCTGGTCGCCAAAGCGAGAAAGAGAAATGAAGCAAAGAATGTATTCGATTGGAAGTGGAAGCCCAGCTCTATAAATATTTCAATTTAGAAACAGATAACATTATAAGGGCTCAATTTCTCCCTTCCGCACAGAACACGCGCTTCCAAGCACCTGACATCAAGACCCAGAGAACACGAATCAGTTCGTCCGAGAGCCAGCTGCCGCCTTTCGTGGCAGGAACGTGGCACGACACGCTGCTTGGAACTGCACGGAGTCAGTAAAAATCAATGTTTCCATTTGTGGCCCATCAAAACATCTCTCTCCTTACCAATTAGGGGATGTACAATTTTTAGGTTCTTTTATTATCAGAACACGCCAACTCCTAGCAATACAGAAATCCCATTAAAAGCCAGGCAGCATATTTATCTCAAGAAATCTGATCTGCTGCTGTGGAGACGGTGAGAAATAGAAAGCAAAGAAATGAGAAATATCATTTGGAGTCTTCAGTGTTGTAAGTCATCACACAACCATGGTGACACAATCAAGCGCCCGTCTCTGAAATTCTTGGTTTACAGTTTCTTCCCTTAAAAAAAAAATGTACTGAAGGAGGAGAAAAAAGAACCATAATTCCAGCTTTATCTACTACAGCAACTCTCGAGATAGTAAGTCACATTCAGCACCATGCCTGCGCTACTTTACTTAACACACACAATTTAATAGACATATTTAAATTATCCTCTTGTTATTTTTTTTTTTAGCCATATTTACTTGGCAGCACTTTCCATAATAGCTGGTCTAATCCACAACTGGAACCACAAACATTACAATGCATTTGATCTCTTTAAATCTGGTACATCCTGTCGACTCACGAGTAGATAAATCAGAATGTCAACTCTTGGGTTTTTATAAGGCAAAAACCCATAAAGTCATCCAAGAGCATAAATCTGTTTTAAGGAACTGTCACCTCCCCTGCCGCCAGCTACTAATGGGAAGGCAGGCGACTGCACAGAAAGGGGGGGAGAGAGCAGGAGGCGAAGGTGGGGGCCCCCTCATCTGGGGTCCCTGGGGACCGCATGGCTGGCTGTTCTGGCCCTCGAGAAGCCAGAGGGGGGAAATTCAGGGGTCTGAAGTTTTGGAGAGTGGAACTTTCCTGACAATACAGGCCCCCAGCACCCTTCTGCCATTAGAATCGGGACCCCCAGAACAGACAGCCCTTTATCCCACCCGAGTTTTTGAGCCTCACAAAAGGGAAAGAGAGTAAAAAGGTTTGTTTTTTCACTTGCAGAGGGGAACAGTGGGGCTGGAGGAGGCAGGCGGGTCACCCAAAGCCATAGGAGGAACTGAAAGTCTAAGTCTGAATGGTGACAGCAAGCCCTGTCCCCAGGCCCCAGAGACTGGACCCCAGGCTCCCCAGGGTCCGTGAAGTGGAAGTTCTAGGGACAGAGCAAAGGTGCTGGTCCTCTCGGGAGCACTCTGGGGTCTTCTGCTTCCAGATCCAACCTGAGCAGCTGCTGGGTGAACCCCTGAGGGCCACATGAATGAAGCTTCCCATCTCCCCTGGTTGACCCAGCTCCAGCTGGTCATGGTGGGCCTTCCTGTACCATGTTCCACTCTTGTCCAGCCCCAGATGCTCCCTCGGGTCATGGCCTGAATGAGCTTGGAAAGGCAGAGCCCAAAAGCCACCTCCAGCACTGTCTGAGCCCCTATCCCAAGTGCTGCCTCGAGCTCCCAACACAGTGACCCCCCTGGGTCAGAGCTAGCGTTGACCTGCTGGTCCTCCAAGCTCCCCAGTCCAATGAAGCAAAGCAGGTATACTTCTTTCTACCAAGGCTCCCCAGGCAGGGAAGACTTCCCCAAGCAGGCCATCAGCACCCTTCCCTCCAGCCCCACCCACGTTCTCCTGAGGGCTGCACAGAGCTGCCTGAAGCAAGCTGGACCAGTCCCTGTCCCTTGGGGCCAGGTGCATGGCAAAGGAAAGTGAGCTGGAGCCTGGCCTCTCTGACAACATCAAAGCTCCCCACTCCTGGCCTCACGCTACACCCAGGACACCTCAAAATCCAGCGTGGGGAACACCTGCTGCACCAAGGCAGCCCTGGGCATGAGGCACCATCACACCCCCATTTCACAGGGAAGGAACGGGGTGACAGACGTTGGGAGAGGCCATGGTAGCAGGTGTCAAGCACAGCTGCGCCTGAGTCTTCACCGCCTATCGCATGGTTTCCCCACAGTAGAGACAGAGCGCAAAGCTGAGTGCCAAGCACCAAGGAATTGTAGACCCCTCCCAAGGCAAATGCCCTGTCCTTGTCCCAGCAAGGTCCCTGGTCCAGCAAGGGGTCTGCTGACCCCTGACGTGGCTCATCTCCACGGCCACACAGACATCAACCCCTTGAACTGCAGTTTGTTGCACCAAGGGCTTCTTGCTCCTCTTCCCCTGTAACTCCTCACCCACTCAAGGGGCTCCCACAAGCCTAAGCACCAATGTCAAGTAGGTCCCTCCCCTTGACTGGGTGCACCCACACTTCTGTGGACTGTGGCAGGTTGTACCGCACACACTATCTGTAGTGAGATGCACTCTCCCTTCAAGGAGAAGGTGACCCCCTTCCACCATCCTCCCCACCAACCCCACCCATCCCACCCACTCTGCCTCCGAGACTCCCTGGATCACCAGAACACAACAGAAATGACGCTCCAGGACTCCTGAGGCCATGTCAGAGTCTGGCTTGCAATCCCCCCGTGCTCCTGGTCTCCTGGGACATGACACCCGGGAACCCAGCGACCCACTCTGAGAAGCCCAGGGAGTATGTGGGACTCCAGGTGAGCTCCAGCAGTGACCACCAGCCCGAGTCACCTTTCGGGACGTCCAACCCAGCTGAGCCCTTGAGTGACAGCAATCGCGACCACCACCTGACCACACATGTGCAAGAAAAGCCACTGAGTTCGCCAGCCTGGTACAGCCAGCTGCAGACCTGTGTGCAACAGTGATTCTTGCTTTAGGACTCTGAGTTTTGGGGGTGGGGGGCTTTGCCACACAGTTGGAACATTCTCCCACCCGACAATCCAAGCTCCAAGAAGTGGTTCTATGCTTGGCTTTGCTCCATATGACTCCCCAGCCCTGGGTGCAGATGGACCGGGCGGGGGGGCGGGGGCGCGCTCCATAGACCTTGACTGAATGAATAAATGTTTCAAAGAAGTTAAGTCTTTGAGTATCAGCACAGGTGGGGGACAGGAGGAGGGACTGTTTATTGTGCGTTGGTACTAGGTTGAACCATGTGGAGTTGTCATATTAGAACATCAAAAAGTCCTCTGCTTGCAGTCCCGCTGGTTCACCCCAATGCAGTACAGCCGCTGTCCCTCCAGTTCTCCTCACACAGGAGGAAGAGAACACACCAAGCACCAATGGACCCCACTACACCCAAACACCCCAGCCCCTGAGCCCAAGACAGGGCTTAGCGAACTGGCTCCATGAGCAAAGAGAAATAGTAACAAAGTCCACTTGAATCATTTTTCATTAAAAAGTAGAGAATGTGTCCACCTCACAAAAGCACTGTCACTGTCCTTGAAAAAGAGTTTTCATTCCGATATGAAGCCAAGGACAGCCAGACCCGCAGAAATGCACGCAGGGAGGAATGCTTGGCAAGGAC